TTTTCATGGAGTTCACCATTTCTGAAAACTTCGCTATCGAGCCAAAAGATACCAGAATAAATCCATGTGTAGAGCGCTGTACGATGCTAAACCATTCCTGCAAAACTCATTGCGAAATTTCAATGTTGCCTACATTGTTTGAAATGATTAGGTGCAACAGTTTCACCAATTTAATTGAAAAGCAAAAATGAACAAAAAGATAGTTACAATCTGAAATTAGCAACAGGCAACTTTTATTAGTCGGAAATTATTTTCCTGCTCTATTTTGCTGTACAAATAACCTGCATATAAGAAGCTTTTTTAATCTCAGCTGATCGAGCAACATAGACAATTCTGTCATTCGTTGGTGCCACGAAGTCGATAATTGGAAGTGCATTGGCAACAATAAATTGAACATTGCCAAGAAGCTAAAAATATTCTCAACTTAATTTAGCTTTTAATTACTTCTTTAATTGGTAGTGTAGCATGTTTTGCAGGAAATTATAGCTGTAACACAACCAATGTATAAAAAAAACTTGGTCTAAACAGCAACGTTAAATCGAATGGAGAAATGCAAAAGTAAGATTTTACGTTTAAGTAAAGCAAATGTTTATCAAGCCACCTGAGAGGGATTGATACCACTCTGTAAATGTTTCCTGTATAAAAGCAACTCCAAGTTAAACACGAATTTATGTGCTACTGAGAGAACCTGCAAAAAATTTCAATAAGAAGAAAATTTTAAACTGTTATGCAACATTTTAACAGGTCTTCACAAGGTATATCGTTTCTGTTTTGCTCAAATTAAAAAACTGAAAAGATATTAGAAAAAACATGATGTCAAAAAAATATGTATTAATGTCAATACGCTTTTTTTTGCTAACCCATATTCGTTTTAACCGTAAAAGTAATCAAAACTCAATTTTTTATAACAGCAGTCAAGAGTTAACGAATACTGGATATTATTAAAAAATATTGTCGTATTAAAATTCATTGTTTTCTTTTTTTAATTTATGACTCATTTTTACAAAGAAACTTCAAAATCTTCAAAATGCAAAAAAAAAGCGAACCAATAAATTTGAACAATCAAAGATTATAAAATCCGATGTTGAAAATGCATCTCCCTTTAACAAATTGTCCTGATGCTTACAGCAAAAAAAAAAAAAAAAAAAAAAAAAAAAAAAA